ATGATATAAATATGTCATGCTTTTGTTTTCATTATTTTATTCATTGACACTAGTTCTGTTGTTGAATTGATAAGACTATTTTCAATTAAAATAATACTGCTGACATCATTTTTTATGCATTATATATATATATACATATATAAAACTGATTGATATATGGAAGTGAAACTGTTAATCTAAATAATTGCCATATATAAATATATTCATATATCAATTATTTTATTTCAATTATCACCAGGAATTTCACTCATGCTCGTTCTATTTCAAAGAACGCAGCAGTTTCTTGAACACAAAACATCATGTGTGCGTAAGAAGCAAAAAAGAGAATTCTACAACCGATGGATTTTTCCACTCATTTGATAATAACGATACGAAGCTGTGTGGCAAAACTCACAATAAAATGTTCGATCTGGAAAAATAGGGACAGAAAAAGCTGTGCAGTGGAAAGAGCTTCGGTCCGACGAAAAAGGAGATAAACTGACTTACGTGTAACGATACATCCTCTAGGTGCTTGCGGACGTTCTCTTTTGTGGATTCGTGCAATGCCATCGTTATCGAGATGTTCTCAGTTCACGATTTCAACTAGATTTCGATGCTCAGAAACGACGACGACGGCAATAGACGAGGGAGACGACGTCTGACAACGATAACGAACGACACCAGAAACCGTTCTAAAGAACGAAGCAGGAAACACTGGCACTTTACGCGGGCAAAATTATCTCGACTGTATTGCGATTGGCTTCCCGTGCCGACGTTTCGCGCCCAAGTCGCCGTCCGCCAATCAGCTGATCAGGCTGTGCCGCCAAATTCAGCTGACTCTCACATTACCTATCCTTTTCTCTCTTCTAGTGCATTTTTCCATCGAAAATATTTCCAGACGAATTTCTCGCGGTCGGTCAGGATTGTACAAAATGGTTCGTCGAACAGAACCTTTTCCGCGACTCTCGACGACATCGGTGATTTCCCGCGCGTTTTAACGAGACTGCGCCACGAGTATTGAGTGAATCATCGGAGAAGGGAGACGATTCTTGTGATAGCTATAATATAACTTGAATGCAAATTATGTAGCTGTAAATTCATTTGGATAAATGTCACGACTTGGACAGATTGAATGTTTTCTTTATGTTATGTAGTTTTTTATGTTATGTAGCTTTATGCTTAGTCGTTCTTATATATTTAGAGTTTATTCTGAGTCTATATAGTCTCGACAGTTTATATCGTATATACGAAAATCTATAATACATATAAGGTCTTGTGTATAAATATTAAATATTATTGTCATAAATATGCAGGGTGTCCCAAAATAATCGCCAAATATTTCATGGACAGGTAGATCGGACTAAACTAAATCGAAAAATCCCTTACCATTTTGCAATTTTCGCAAATTAGTTAAAAAGATATTAATTACTAAAAATTACTGAAAATTGGTCTTCAATAATTTTTTACTCAAATACTATTAACTTTACAGAAAAATTGTAAGAGGCAAAAATTGTTTATCTCTTTCTCATAAACTCTTTTTTCAAAATTTTTTCAGTATTTTTTCATGTTGATAAAAATAAGAAAATGCAATACTAGAAAGTTGATAAAAAATTCTGAAACAATTTTTGAAGTTCTATGAGAAAAAAATAAACAATTTTTGTCGCTTGCAGTTTTTTTTATAAAATTGATAGTATTTGAGTAAAAAATTATTAAAGACCAATTTTCGACAATTTTTAATTAATATTTTGTTAACTATTGCGAAAATTGCAAAATGACTTTTCAACTCAGTTTAGTCCGTTGTATCTGCCCATGAAATATTTGGCGATTATTTTGGGGCACCCTGTATAATAACAGTAATATTATAAATATTAAAGAAATAAAAAAATTAGAAATAGATTAAACGTAACGCCATTAAATATATATA